TTATACACATCTTGCACTGAAAATATTAAGAGTCATATTAGTGAGCAAAAGTGTAGAAGTATATTAGCAAAATAATAATATTGGATGTATTCTACATCGCTAAGAAAGAAAAACAAAACTCGTGAAACTCTGAGGATTAAAAATGACACAAATTTATTGCCTCCAACCTCTCAGTACTGTCCATAATCCCAATTTGGTTCCCCAAGTTTGTTTTTTTTGCCCCATTTTCCAGTCATGTTTTATGTTTGCCTATCTTCTGAATCGCTCTCTTACTCTCTCATTCTCTCACTCTGTCCCAGTTACACTTTGCTTCACAGAACAAGCAGTAAACGTCAGGCAGAAATACTAGAAATCCCTGCCTTATCTCTTCCTCTGCATATGTATTTGCTCTGAAACTTACTTCAAAGTCAATATGTGAAAAATATTTTTCAAAAAACCAGCTGTAGCAGCAGTACTGGTTGTCTTACCCACCATCACCTGACCTTTTTCTCCTTCCCTCAAATTCCATCCAGCAAAGAGCTTCAAAAATTACCAGTCACCCAAACCAGGAACCCAGGTTCATTCCCAGGTAAAAAAATTTTCTGCTTCCCACAAATTCAAGTCGATTTTCATGCATTCATTCAGCAAACAATAGAGAACATTTAGCTACTTGTCTTGGAGATGAAGTAGTACAAAGAAAAACAAATCTCCTAAAACATTTTTTTTAATTTTTTAAGAAAGAAAAACAAATCTCCTGTCCCCACCAGACTAATATTTTAGTGGAAAAGACAGACTATAAACAACTAGAGACCTAATTTATCCACTCAACAAATCAGCTACTCACTACTTGGATAATGTGCTTACATCTTTTCCAGGCACAGGGAAGCACATTTCAAAGTAGTGAACGTGACAAGATGCCTGTCTTCCTGAAGTTTGCATTCTAATGGGAGCGAGGGGCAGATAATGAATTTATCAAAAAATAAGTTACCTAGCAATAACTGCTAAGGATAAAATATAAACCACAGGTGGGATATATGCAATGACAAGGAGACCTATTGAAATCATAGATACATGAGGAGGAATGGCCTTTTTTAAAATGTGACTTCTAGGTAAAGATGTGATGGGTGAGGGCATTAGCCATGTAGCTATCTGGAGAAAGAGCATGTCAGGCAGAGGGGACAAAACCCATGAATGCCCTGAAGTAGGGCATACTCGATTCCATTGAGAGGCAATTACAAAACTCACCTAAAAGAAATCACAGATTACACAAGCTAATGGAAAACGTTCCATGCTCATGGACAGGAAGAATCAATATTGTTAAAATGGACATACCGCCCATAGAAATTTAAAGATTCATTACTATTCCTCTCAAAGAACCAATATTATTTTTCACAGAGTTAGGAAAATCTATTCTAAAATTCATATCAAATTTAAATAAAAAGCTTGAATAGTCAAAGCAATCCTAAGCAAAAAGAACCAAGCTGGAGGCATCATACTACCTGATTTCAAACTATGCTAAAAAGTTACAGTAGCCAAAACATCACGGTACTGGCACAAAAATAGACACATAGATGAATGGAAAAGAATAGATAGCGCAGAAGTAATGTTATACACCTACAACCATTTGATCATCGACAATAATAAGCAATGAGAAAAAGGATGCCCTATTCAATAAATGGTGCTGGGATCACTGGCTTGCCATAGGCAAGGGATTGAAACTGGACCCCTTCACAAAAATCAACTCAAAATGAATTACAGACTTGAATGTAAGACCTCAGACTGTAGAAAATCCTAGAAAAGAACCTAGGACATACCATTCTGGACATAGGCCTTGGCAAAGATTTAGGATAAACTGTCTAAAAGCAAATGCAACAATTAATAGTCTACAACCAAAAAGAGTCCAGGTCTAGATGGGTTCACAGTTGAATTCTACCAGAGGTACAAAGAGGAGCTGGTACCATTCCTTCTGAAATTATTTCAAACAATATGAAAAGAGGGAATCCTCCCTAACTCATTTTATGAGACCAACATCATCCTGATACCAAAACCTGGTAGAGACACAACTAAAAAGAAAACTTCAGGCCAATATCCATGATGAACATTGATGCAAACATCTTAAACAAAATACTGCCAAACTGATTGCAACAGCACATCAAAAAGCTTATCCATCACGATCAAGTAGGCTTCATCCCTGGGATGCAAGGCTGGTTCAACATATGCAAACCTATAAACGTAATCCACCATATAAACAGAACCAAAGACAAAAACCACATGATTATCTCAATAGATGCAGAGAAGGTTTCAACAAAATTCAACAGCCCATTATGCTAAAAACCCTCAATAAGCTAGGTATTGATGGACTATATCTCAAAATAATCAAAGCTATCTATGACAAACCCACAGCCAATATCATATTGAATGGGCAAAAACTGGAAGCATTCCCTTTGAAATCTAGCACCAGGCAAGGATACCCTCTCTCACCACTCCTATTCAATATAGTATTGGAAGTTCTAGCCAGACCAATTAGGCAAGAAAAAGAAATAAAACATATTCAATTAGGAAAAGAGGAAGTTAAATTGTCTCTGTTTTCAGATGACATGATTGTATATTTAGAAGACCCCATCATCTCAGCCCAAAATCTCCTGAAACTGATAAGCAACTTTACCAAAGTCTCAGGATACAAAATCAATGTGCAGAAATCACAAGCATTCCTATACGCCAATAACAGACAAACAGAGTCAAATCGTGAGTGAACTCCCATTCACAATTGCTACAAAGAGAATGAAATACCTAGGAATACAACTAACAAAGGATGTAAAAGAACTCTTTAAGGAGAACTACAAACCACTGCTCAAGGAAATAAGAGAGGACACAAACAGAAAAATATCCCATGTTCATCTTTAGGAAAAAATCAATAATGGCCACACTGCCCAAAGTAATTTACAGATTCAAAGCTATCCCCGTCAAGCTACCACTGACCTTCTTCACAGAACTGGAAGAAAACACTTTAAACTTTACATGGAATCAAAAGAGAGCCCGCATAGCCAAGAAAATCCTAAGCAACAAGAACAAAGCGGGAGGTGGGGAGGCTGGGGAGGGAAAACACTGGGAGAAATGCCTGATGTAGCCGACAGGGGGACGGAGACTGCAAACCACCATGACATGTGTGTACCTATGCAACAACCCTGTGGGGTGTGCACATGTACCCCAGAGCTTAAAGTACAATAAAGAAACATAATAAATTTGTGGTAATGTGTTACCCAGCTACAGAAAACTAATATAATCTCTTAACATTTGAATCTTATTTTTACCCTTCAAATTTCTAAAATTAAATCACTAGTAATATTTGCAAATGTCATCATATAAGTTTTGCCATGCATATACAATCAGGAAGGGGTTCAAGAATAATTGAGAAAATAATCTCAGTGCTAATATGAGAGGTTGAGCATGTAGGGATTGCTTTATGATCCTTTAGCCTGGATAGAAGATTTACCTACGCAACTGTCTTGCATGCTCTGCTCATGTACCCCAAAACCTATAATCCAATAAAAAATTAAAAAAAAAAAGAAGATTTATGCTATTTTAATGCCATATTCCACTTGACAAGTTTTTAAAAAAACTTATTTTCCTACACAGATAAGCAAACAAAAGTTAAACAATTTAGCTTCTTGTTGTGAATATGTCAATTACTTGATGTTAGACAAATCATTATGTTGAACCTCATTTTGAAAACAAAGATAAAAGTGACCTTGTATAATTCTAAAAGCTTTTTCTGCATCTATTGAGATGATCATGTGGTTTTTATTTTTAATTCTGTTTATGTGGTGAATCACCTTTATTGATTTGCACGTGTTAAAGCAACTTTGCATCCTAGGAATAAAGCCTACTTGATCTTTTTTGTCTTTTAAATAAGATTTGTGTCACTGATATTAAAACCCTACACAAATAATAAAGAAGTGTTTTTTATTGCATTTTAGGTTTTGGGGTACATGTGAAGAACATGCAAGATTGTTGTATAGGTACACACAGTGCAGTGTGATTTGCTGCCTTCCTCCCCATTATCTATATCTGGCATTTCTATTTTTTTTAATTAACTATTAAAGAAAAAATAGACAGGTAAGTAATTGAAAGTGGTAAAATAAAATTTATTTACTAAATAAAAATATAGTTAAGTAATGTTTTACTCAAGAAGAATTCAATGGAGGCCTTCAATAGTATATATCTCATTAAAGCCTATGACCAGCAACATAATGTCTTTTTGATATAATTGTCTCTGTAATGTCACTCTTTTCTGGATTTCTAATGGTTACGAAGCAGGAGACTGATTCCTCTAAGTTCTCTCTCTTTGATTTGATATAACCACATCCAACAATTTTTAGATAATGGCCATGATTACTTTCGATGATGGTTATCACCTATAATAGGATGAAAGGGCTTCCAGGGCAGTGTAGTTCCACCTCGACTGTGATGATAGGAGGCTGGTAAAGAGTAGCTGCAACTCCATCAATATACTTTCCATAGAGTGTGAAAAGAACTGCTGGGCATTATTTCTACCCCTATGTTTACATGGGATTATAGATACAGCAACATCAGGAAGTTTTCACAAAGCACACAGAAACAGATTCCAGACACAGACGTGCATAAATTCCCATACAGTGTTTACACACACAGAACACCTATTTATGAGGAGAAAGGACAACTATCACACACTTAAAATGCCAAAGTAAATTTATTGCATTTTTACATTTCCCAAATGACCGATTTGGAATGGAAGTTGTGCCAAGAAATGTCTCCAAAAGGAAAATCGTTATCCAAACTATAAGTCCCCAAAACATTAAAATTCCAAGTCCAGATGATGTTTATCAAGTCATCCCTGATGGAATAAAATCTGAAGATCCATCACAATAAGCTCAGATTAGCTAATCATTGTTTAATCTGATAGAGGCACTAATGGAATGAAGTATTCAGAAGGCAGAATCTGCAAGAGGAAAATTAGCAGTCCTCAGTCTCATGCCAGGTTCTCAGTATAAGCCAGATGACCAATATCTTCCATAGCAGCATGGGCGGTAGCAGCCATATCCATAACCTCCATAGCCTCCATAGCCTCCATAGTGGGAGCCATAGCCACAGCCCTGGAAGCAGCCATAGCCACAGCCCAGTCCTCCAAGGCCATAGCCCAGACTACCATAGTAGTTGCCGTAGTAACAGCTCATGGTGTCAAGGGTTGAGGACTTATTTCAAAGCAAAGAGTTTGCTTGCAGAATATGAACATCCCTGCTTCCACAGGGCCTTTTATACACCCTTTGCAGTGGGTGTGGTAAACCACAGCAATTCTGACCCTGCGTTTTATCAATTAATATGCATGAAAACTATCTAATTAATATTTTCATTTGTAGTAGAAACCCTTACACCCATTAATTTTAAAATTCCTTTACTACTGCCTCTAAATATTTTAAGCTATATAAAATGTCTTTAAAACATTATTTTTAGAAACAATTTACTGCCATACTTAATTTCTATAACCAAGCTTCATGAGTTCGAATAGCATGGAAGTATGCCTTAAAATAATCACATTGTTTCTTCGAAGACTTAAAGCACAGCTGAAGAGAGATGCCAGGTTGGAAAGAGCAGGATTAAGAAGTCTTACTCTAAATAAACATTGGTGATAAACGTATCACTAACATTTCCTTGATATCTGTTTCTCTCCCCAATGTGAAGATGAATACCACTTTTGTTTTGCCTCAGTTTTCTGGCAGAATTGATTTTGTATTTGATTACAAGGGATATTTTTAGGTAAATTCACAGCATCATTATTCTTATTAGTTCATATGTTTTTATATGGTTGTGTGATGGTCAGTTTTAAGTGCGTTAGCATTTCTTAAACATGTGATACCTAAAATATGTTTGTCAGTGAAAAATAAGTATGTATAAAATTTTTTTGTGTTTGACATCTTCCATGTATTACATTTAGTATAACAGATGTATATTCCAGAGGTATGTAGTAAAATGCATATATCAAGATGTTTGTTTAGTATACTAATATCTAAAAAATACCTATCCTTGTGCTAATTAATCACTCCTGTATTCTCTTCAGTAATTTCCTAAATAGTTGCTAGTACTATTAAAGTTTCAAAAAAGGCATGAAAAAGTATTTCTCTGATATTGCATAGATTGTGTGAAGTATCGATAAAATGACATGAAGAGTCGATGTTATTTTAAGTTCTTGACTAGAGATAATGAGTAAAAGTTATAAACAATTCCACGTTGTTATAAGAAAATGCCTAACAAAATGGTCAAAGAGCTGCTTCATAATTTCACATTTTGGTTTTTTTTTTTTTTTGCCATATACAATATCCAATAACAGATTTTTTGGTAATAAAATCTGTTTCCATCCTTATCTAATCATTGCTGATGATTCTGGGTACGGTAGGGAAGCTCTGTTTACATAAGAATCAGAGTCTTTATAAAATGGAATTACTAAAGTCAAACAACATATTAATTTTCTACAGATGAAGATTTTTAAAATATCTAATATCAATTCTCTAGATCGTTTTCTTAACACAATTCCAATTGTGATAATAATTGAAAAGGATAAAGACATATCTTTTTATTACTAAATAACTCTAAAACATTTTGCTATGGCAGAGTTTTAGCACTTTAACATTTGCTTTAATTTATTATTTCATCTTTCTATGGACTTTATAATTGCCTCTTTGGCCTCATCCTAACTTTCAAGCTCCACAGGCACATATCTCCAGTTTTACTCTCTCAATTATTACTGTTACCTGATTAGCGTATTTAAAGGCCTGCCCCTGTTTTGCTTTATATGTTGAGATCCAAACCCAGATTTTTCACTTGTGCTGTTCTTATTTTCTTTATTTTATAAGTATTTTGCTGTCTTATGCTTCTTTTCTTCTACTCATTACATACTTAAAATACATATTTTAATATAATTTGTATTAAATTACCTCTAGTTTTATAGCATCCTGGGTTGACAATGCAATATTTTGGTAAATTCTTGAAATGTTTTTGGAATGTAGACTATGCTTGCTGTTTTTCTAACTATTGTATAAACTGTCGAAAAGACCTATCATTAAGAATATTTCTGTTTTTCTATAGTATCAGCTGTAATTTTTATTTGATCTACGTTTATTATTTTTATATAGCATTTTCTTAAATTGATAGAATGTGATAAATTATTTAATATCCACGCTATTCCTCTTAAATTTGTTTAATATTTGCCTTTCAGTTGTGCCAATCTCTATTTTTTGAGCCTCAGTTAATAATAGCTGTGTAACCTTTTTACCAGTAGCACTCATCAATGTATAATTAAAATTTGAGCAATGTAATACTTTTAATTTATACTTTATTTCATAAGACTTTCATTGCACCTGTTTTTAGCCTGTTTTGCTTTTCATATCTTTAGCCAATTTTTTTTCTTGTTTTAACGTTTTTTTGTGTTTACAGCAGATAACCACAACTGATTCTTGGTGGCAGCAGTACAAATGGATGAGAAAATGTATTATCGGCTACAGCTTTCACTAATTCGATACATATTACACTTGGACCAATAAAGTAATGATGCCTTAGGCAATGTCACAAAGTTCTGAAGCTTGTGTCTTATTCAGTGAGTCAAATCATTGAAAATTATTAATATTGTCAGAAAAATATATAACCACATGGTATTTTAAATATAATTTTGGGATATGTATGAACACCAAAAATCCAAGGCACATAAAGTTAAATGATGAACATAATTAAAGGACGGCCCATGTTTTGCTTTATGTGTTGAAATCCAAGCCTAAAAGCTAATTTAGATGACTTCGTAGACCAGGAATCCTGATGTCTACTGTGGGACACTGAAATTACTAGGATTGTGAAATCGAAGAGTTTTTTTAATTAAGTAGCAAAAAGTAGTAATCTAAGTATTTCTAATTTTTCTTTACCCATAGATAAAAGTATGATAATCATTCGCATATATAGTTTAAGAGTCAACCCTTTGAGGTACATTACTTCCAGAAAGAGCTATCCATTTGAAAATCTAAGTCATTAATAGAAAGAAAATTGCTTTTATTGTTTGATGAGCTTAGGACTGGAGCCTTACACTAGTAACAGCTCTAATTGGTAAGGAAAGTCTTGGCCAGTTTCCTAGGCATATAGTGCAAACAGTTCTTTTAACAGAGTCAAAATATTTGTTGATAAGGGGCCATCAAGGCTTTAGTGAGGTTTTTGGCATGTTGGAGTTACATTGAGGGACTCAAGTGCTTTTCAGGGCAAAGGTCACCTTAATAAGGTTTCAAGTACTTCTGATAACCTTGGATAATTAAGTAAGTCGTATTCTCCTGAGGTCATTAAACATTCAGTTTACATAACTCCCCATGTTGTAATTCTTTACCCAATGCACAACTTTCTGATTTCTGACACTCACCACTCCTTATGGGAAAAGGGTAAGTTAATTATATTGAGTTTAAGCCCTTTGGCCATTCTGACAGTGATTTCTCAGGGTAAATTAATAAATTGGCCTCTGATTATGATTTCATTTCTCATATAAAATAGAGATGACATGCTGATAAAATAGGCTTTGAGTATTTCCATTTCCCCGTGATAGTAATTTGTCTCTGTAAATTAATAAAATGATCTGATTATAATTTGGATTTCCATGTAGGTTAACTATAAGGATAATTCAAAAATCAAGCAAACGCAAATGTTATAGTTCCTGTAACAATGATTTCATGTTGTATATTAATGAATAGGCATTATGTTTTATAGATGAGCCACTTTAACTTGTTAATGGCAGTCAATCCCTGAGAGATGGAGTTGTTCTCAGTGTACTGACTGAAAGCATGTAACCAAGCCTACAAGCTAAAGAGATAGTCCTTGGATAGGGATACATTTTTCAGGGTAATTAATGTTTTCCTAGAGATCTGACTTTCTCTTCTCTAGAGATTCTATAAACTTCTCTCTGTTCCCCATGATATAAGAAGAATTAATTATGCCCTGGAATTGTTTCTACCAACAGATACCTGGGGCTAAATTCTGTATCAGTTGTAGTCCAGAAAATATCCTTATCCAGCTCATTTCTTTAACAAATCTATTGTACAATGTTCTGGGCTATCCAAGATACATAACCATGAAGATAGAGGTGATCTACTATTGCAATGCCTTGTACATGCTTCAGTGACGTGTCTCATTACCTGACCTTCTATGCCAACCATAGACTGCTTCTGCTCTTGTTCTTACTAGTTTTTCTTTAACATGTTGATACAGGAGGGGGGCAGGGAAGTACTGGGTAGAGAAGAGTAGGGTCCCTGGCAAGGGTTGTGGTACTGTACCCACAGACCTAAGTGAGAATGGGCACTCTTGTTTTTGAGCCTGGATGTTGCATTTTTCAAGACCACTCTGGCCCATCAAGACCCCCATCCTGTGCCCGTGTAAACCTGAGACCTTAGTGGACACACACACAAGTGGCTGAACATCAAGAAGAGTGGAAGAGAGCAGCAGAGAGCAGCAGAGAGCAGCAGGGCAGCATGGCAGAGGAGGCAAGAGGTACCTGAACGCTGAGAGGAGTTGGGCCAAACTGCAGGGGAAGATTATCTCCCAACCCCTCCACCTTCCAGCTCCCCATCCTTCTCACTGATAGTCACCTCCATCACTCAGTAAAATCTTGTACTCATCCTTTAAGCCCACATGTGATCTGATTTTTTCAGGAAACTGGGCAAGAGCTAGGGATACAGAAGGCTATCACAGGGGCCCTCTGCCCTTGTGATAGGCAGAGGATCCATTGAACTGACTAACACACAAGCCACTTGCAGACAGCAAATCTGAAAGAGCTTTGTAACCCATGCCCATTTGGGCTTCTGGAGTTGCAGGTACCGAGCCCTAGATGCTGCTATGGGGCCAAAGCCCAAAAGTGGTCACTCAGACCTCTGCACCTATGCTCTATATTCTGCATGCTCCCCCTCAGGATTTGAACTGTGAGGGTGACCAAACAGGCAAGTCACCTCTGTCACATGTCCTGTGAGGGGAGTTAGGGAACTCTCCCATCTTAATATTTGTTGGTTAAATATCATATTTTGCTCAGCAACTAGATGTCTTTGTTTAATTTATGAAGCTTATTTATAACTGTCTTTGCCACTTTTCAGCCTCATAAGTGAACCATCAGGACTACCTCAGCTTTTGTTTTACATGTTTGAAAATTTTCCCTTGTTCTCTA